GCGCGACACGGTACGGCGGGAGAAGGCGGAGGGGTGGCGGGGGGGGGACCGGGGAGGAGGGCGGGAATGCGGCATGGAACGGGTTAACTCCCGCCAGGGTTAACCCCTGCTGTGTTTAACCCCCCCCTAAATTGAACCCACTCCTCTTTGGGGTGATTTCTCCCCCTCAGGGTTAGCCCGCCCTCAGGGTGAGCTTCCCCTCAGGTTTAACCTCCCTCACGTTTAACCCACCCCACCCTGGGGTGACCCCCACACCGGGGTTAACCCCCCCAGCGTTAACACCCTGCTATGGGGGGACCMCTCCTCAGGTTTAACACCCCCTCATGGGGTGACTCCCGCTAGATTTAACCAGTTTTAGCTTTTAACAGCACTCCTGTAGGGTGATGCCCCCTCCCCCGAGGGTTAATGGCTCCCCAACACGACCCCTGCGATTGTGGTGGAATTTCTGCCCACCAACAGGAGTTACCACCCCCCGTGACAGCCAAGGGGTTAATGCCCCCCTTCTTTAGGGTTAATGCCCCCTTCCTCTTTGGGGTTAATTCCCTCCTCTTTGGGGGTTGATTCTCCGTCTCTTTGGGGGTTGATTTCCCCCCTTTTTGGATTTAATACCCCCCCTCTTTGGGGGTCGATTCCACCTCTCTTTGGGGGTTAACTCAGTCCCCTCGAATTAATGTCCCCCTATCTTTGGGGTTAATGCCCCCCTCTTTGAGGATTTATTCCATCTCTTTTATGGGGTTAACGCAGTCCATCTTTGGGGGTAAATTCTGCACCCTGTGGGGTTTAATGTCCCCTTCCCACCTTTTTGAGGGTTAATTTTGCTCCCCTCTTTGGGGTTAATGCCCCCCCCCCCCTTTTGGGGTTAATTCCACCCTTCTTTGGGGGTTAATTCTGCACCCCATGAGGTTTAATGCCCCCTTGCCACCTTTTTGAGGGTTAATTCTGCTCCCCTCTTTGGGGTTAATGCCCCCCTCCTTTTGGGGTTGATTCCACCCTTTTTGGGGGGCTTAATTCAGCCCCCTCTTTGGGGTCAGTGCCCCCTTCTTTGGGGGTTGATTTCACCCCTCTTTGGGGGTTAATTCTGCACCCCATAGGGGTTATTGCCCCCCATCTTTGGGGTTAATGCCCCCCTTATTGAGGATTGATTCCACCTCTTTTGGGGGTTAATTCAGTCCCCATATTGGGGTTCACATCCCCCCCCTTTGAARGCTGATTCTTCACCCCATGGGGGTTAATGCTCCCCCCCTCCACTTTGAGGGTTAATTCTGCTCACCTCTTTAGGGTTTATGGACCCCTCTTTAGGGGTTGATTCCACCCCTCTTTGGGGGTTAATGCAGTCCTCTTTAGGGTTAATGTCCACCCCTCCGCGGGGGTTAATTCTGCACCCCATGGGGGTTAATGCCCCCCGCCTTTTTGGGGTTAATGTCCCCCCAAAAGTGGTTAACGTCCAACTGCCGTGTCACCCCAGTGCTCAGTGCACCCCTTTGGGGTTAATGTGCCCCTCATGGCAGTTAACCTGCTYCCCCCGTGGCACCCCAGGGGTTAATCCCCCTCTCTCGGCGGTTAATGCCCCACATTGGGAGTTACTGTTCCCCCCTCGTGGGGGAGACCCTTAGGGGTTAACGCGGCCCCTTTTGGGGGTTAACGACCTCCGCTGGCACCCCACGGGTTAATACCCCCCCTTTGGGAATTAATGCCTTTCTTTGGGTGTTACTGTTCTCCCCCCGTGCCACCCCAGGGGTGAATACTCCCTTTTTTGAGAATTAACACCCTCAGTGGGGTCATCCTGGGGGGGTTAATGCCCCCTCCCCAAGGGGTTAAACACTCCCAAGGGGGGCCATACTGCCCACCCCCCCCCCAGACGGGTGAGTCCCCCACCCGGGAGTCTCTGCCCGCACTCAGGGCTTGGTTCCCCCCTCGGGGGTCGCGGGTTCCCCGTCGGGGGTCGCAGCCCCCCCAGACAAAGCCGCGGGGGCACAAAGGGCGGGGGCGGGGCGGGGGTTAACGGGCCGCCGCCCGTTACCGTAGCGACGGTTCGGGGGGAGCCCTTAAAGGGGCCGCGTCACCGCAGCACCGGGCGGGACGCGGCCTCGAGGGATGTCGGCCCGCTGAAGGGGGGGGCTGCACCCCCACTTTGGGGGATTTGGGGTCCCCCATAGCCAGGAGAGGCTGCAAGCTTTGCGGGGRCACTGTGGGGATGCTGTGCTCCCCCCACGTGTGTCCTGTGTCACCCCATAGATGCCATGTGTGCCCTCCCCCCATAAATACCCTACCTGTATGCCCCCCCACATTGCCCTATCTGTATTGTCCCCCCCATGGGTGTCGTGTCATGCCACAGATGCTGCSTGTTCCCCCCACGGGTGTCCTGCCTGAATCCCCCCACAGCTGTGGGTCACCCCCCCTGCCATCCCCGCTGCCCCGTGGCCATGTGCCATCAACGGTTGTGGCCATGCCCAGCTGCAGTGGCCGGTGGCAGCAGTGGTGGCCCCGGTTGTGGCAGGAAGGACGGGGACACCCCACGTGATGTCACCGCAGGCAATGCTGCGTCCCCCAACATGGAGGAGCCACTGCGGCAAGGCTGTGATGGGACTGAAGGGGCTTCCCCCGGGCACAGCCTCGAGGGATGACGCTGGTGGGGGGATGGGGCTGCCACACCCTGGGTGTACCGGGCTCCTGTCCCCAACCCGAGGCTGGGTCCCCCATGTCCTTGTGGGGTTAGGACCATCCCCCTGCTGCAATGTCCAAAGTGACCTTTCTAAACAGTGCAGCCCCTGGCTGAGGGGCCTGGGGAGGGCTGGGGACAAGTGGCCATGGACAGGGATCACCAGGTGCTCTTTAAGCCAGCAGTTATTTGCAACCCCCCCTCTCCRTCCCACATCCTTGAGGATTCACAGAGGGTGGGACCCCCAAATTTCCTGTTTTCTGCTGCTCCATCCCTGGAAGTGTCCCAGGTCAGGCTGGACTGGGCTTGGAGCAACCTGGGATAGCAAGAGGTGTCCCTGCCTATGGCAGGGGACAGACTGGATGGGCTTCAAGGTCTCTTCCAACCCAAACCATTTCTGGATTCTTTGATGCGATGAAATCCCCCCTCAGACTGGGGTTTGCAGCAGTCTGGGACACAGGCACAGGCAGTGCCAGAGAAGAAGCAGCTGGAGAGTGGCCATTTTGTGCCGTTGGACATCCAGTGGCAGCTGCCCGGGGTGCCCACGGGGGTGACCCCACCCCAAGGTGAGCCCTCCTTCTCCTGCCTTGCAGCTCCTGGCGCGGATCGAGCGCATGGAAAGGCGGGTGCAGCTGGTGAAGAAAGACAGCGAGCGGGAGAAGCACCGCATTTTCCAGGGCTTTGAGGTGGACGAGAAGCCGGAGGTGGAGGCATGTGAGAAGCTGCCTCTGGAGTGTCCCCAGGACCTGCTGGAGCCCCCCCCGACCCTGCAGCCCAAGCACTTCCCTTACGGCAGGAACGGGAAGGGGCATAAAAGGTACAGAGTGCATGGGGGGGCTGCATGGGGAACGGGGGGGGACACTCCTTATGGCTTCAYCCTTCACCCTCTGTGGGGCTGGCACTGCCCAGTGGCCTTCGAGCTGCTCAGGGAGACCATCCCACACCAGGACACATCCCTGTATCCAGGATAACCTCAAGAAAGCCTGGGTTTGGAGTGGGGGGGGGGTCTCAAAATGCTGGTGAAGCCCCTCTGTAAACTGCTGATGTCTGGCCCTGGTGCAGCAGCTCTGTTTTGGGGGTGCCAGGAGGAGGATCCACATGCCTGGCTCAGCTCCTCTTCCTCCYGCAGGAAGCCAGCGTTCGGGAGCGCGGAGAGGAAGACGCCCGTTAAAAAACTCGTGTCGGAGTTCTCCAAAGTGAAGAGTAAAACTCCAAAGCACTCCCCGGGGAAGGAGGAATCGGGTGGCTCCTTGGCTGAAACTGTTTGTAAACGAGAACTGCGGAGCCAAGAGACTCCTGAAAAACCCCGGTCGCTCCTGGAGACCCCTCTCCGGGCGTCAGCTCCGCCCAAGGGTCCCAGCACCCACCCCAAGGAGAAAGGCTTTGTCAGCGAGGCCGACGACCTGCCCTATCTGTCCACCACCGAAATGTACTTGTGCCGCTGGCACCAACCGCCCCCATCGCCGCTGCCGCTGCGGGAACCTTCCCCGAAAAAGGAGGAGACTGTAGCAAGTAAGGATGGAGAGAGCGATGGAGAAGCTGCTGGGGCTGAGCCAGCCTGGGAGCAGGGCTCAGCACCTTCATCCTGAATCTGGGAAAGGGCTTCCAGATTCCCACAGGGAGTGCCTGTGGTGCTGGTAGAAGTACCCACTGTGGTGGGTGCCAGCTCTGGGCTCTCCYAAATCCCATCTGTGGCTCGCCCCGCTCTGGGCAGGGCTCCTGCTGGTGTCTGTTGGAGCAATTGGTGAAGCAACTTCCCGTGGGTGGTTGGGAAATGTGTCCGGTGCTTGTCCTGCCTTGGGCCCGGCGAGGTTGGTGCTGGTGATGGGAACTGGGCTGTGTGAGGTGGCTCAGCGCTCCAGCTGGGACTGAGCTCGACACACCCCTGGGAGTGGCTCAGGTTTGCTTGTGTGCTTGCCCAAGGGGGTGGAGATGAGCTTTGCCTTCCCCCAAATGCCTGACAGCTCCTGCTGCTGGTTCAGGGTGGGGGTTTGGGGCATCCCAAGCCGTGCTTTGAGGGGAGGGATGGGTGGGATGGAGCAGGGGCTGTGGGGGTTCTGCTGTGGGGTAACACCCTCCCTCTTGTCCCRCAGTTCCGTCTTGGAGGGACCATGTCGTGGAGCCCCTGAGAGACCCCAACCCCTCGGACCTCCTGGAGGTACGTGAGCCATCAGAGCTGGCAGTGCCACAGGGGCTCTCCAGGCTGTCCCATGTGGTGGCATCTCATCCCCTCATCCAGCATAAACCTGGCTGTGGTTTTGGGGCCGAGGTGGGGGGAAGAACCAGCCCCTTTCAGGATCTGAACCTGGAATGATGCACTGATCCCTGTCTGGTGTCGTTGCAGAACCTGGACGACAGCGTCTTTTCCAAACGGCACGCAAAGCTGGAGCTGGATGAGAAACGGAGGAAAAGGTGAGAGCAAAGGGAGAGATGGGGGTCTGGGGTCCCAATCTCACAGGGGACAGTCCTGGGGTGTCACCCTGAGCAGGGAGTAGGACAGGGTGCAGCTGGGATGAGAACTGGGAATGCTGTGGGAGGAGGGATGCTCYCACATCACTGGCAGCCCATGCAGCCCCCTGCTCCCCCTGGGAGAATCTGGCACTGCCTGTGGCTTCTCACTTTCCAAACCATCCTGTTTTCCAGGTGGGACATCCAGCGGATCAGGGAACAGAGAATCCTACAGCGGCTGCAGCTCCGAATGTACAAAAGGAAAGGGATTCAGGAGTCAGAACCTGAAGTTACCTCATTTTTCCCTGAGCCAGATGATGGTGAGGCTCGGGAACGGGGTGTCGGGGGGTAGGTGGGGGTGCAGATGGAGKTCTCACACACTCTGGTGTCTCTCCACAGTGGAAAGTTTGCTCATCACCCCTTACCTGCCTGTCGTCGCCTTTGGCCGGCCCTTGCCCAAATTGACCCAACAGTGAGTATGGGGGGGTGTGAGGGTGCAGGGCTGGGTTGTGTCACTGCTAGGAAGGTGCCCAGCTCGTTTTGGGTCTGGACTGTGCCATTTTGGCTCGGGACAATGCCTCAGTGACACCATCTATGCCCGCAGGAACTTCGAGCTGCCCTGGCTGGATGAGCGCAGCCGCTGCCGSCTGGAGGTGCAGAAGAAGCAGACTCCTCATCGRACCTGTCGGAAATAAAGGGAGAYGCTGGGAGCTCCAAAACACCTCCAKGAGCTCCGAATGTCCTCGGGGGTGGCTCTGAAAAYCTCCGAYGTCACCAGGTCACCGCCGGCCGCTGACRGATGGTTTCGTTCTTCCGCGATCCCAGTTTTGTTCACTTGGGTTTTGGAACGTTCCCCGGACTCATCCCCCGCACTGGCACCGGCTTTTCGGTGCCACCAGCCAGCAGCTCCGCTCCCCAGGGCAGATCATGGCCCCATCCTCGGGATTTGGGATATGGGAGCACGGGGATCACCAGCACCAGATCCCCTGCCTGGGGGTGCCACAGCCCACGAGACTCACCCGCTGCTGCCTTCATGTTGTGTTTAGTTAGAAAGCAGGATAAACAGCGGATTTTATTGSAGCTGGCCAGAGCCTGGGAAGCGCCTGGGAGTCTCTTTTGGGGGGTTTTCCCCCTCTTTGGGGGGGTTTTTCCCTCTCTTTGGGGGATTTCCTCTCTGGAGCGGGTTGGCGGGGGCAGAGGGGAGAGTTAAAAAGCAAAAATTCTCTTTTTTTTTTTTTTTTT